GAACACCAACAATCAAACCGATGCCACCGATAATTCCAAATGGACAATTTATGGACACATCAGGTTCTCAAATGAAACCCATTAATCCAATACCAGGTCCACAAATGAATTCAATTAGGAAACCAATGCAAAGTTCTCAAATTAACTCTGCCAATGCACCACCGGTGGCAAGTTTACAAATGAATCCAATTAACACGCCAATAACAAATTTTCAAATGGCAAATCTTCAAATGAATCAGATTAATCATATGCCACTTGTGCCACGTAAGTGTTCTTATTCCACAAGAAATCTATGCCAGGCTTTTCGATCATTCGGCTTAGATTGATCGACATTGACCCATAAGTTGATCTTGAAATTATTAGTAAATTTGGGCGAGTGTTTGAAGTTTACGTCAAATTATGAAAGGAATTATTTTTGTTAGGACATTTTCACAAGCGAAAATTTTAAAATAAAATTTTGTTCTTAATTTTGTCGATCATGATCAACAGAAGCTGGCACAGAATTCTTTTATTACTTTCTTTTCTTAATGTGGCTTAAGTCTATACTTGAAAATCACGCGACTTAAAAAAAATTTTCAAATCGTCATAGCTTTATATGCAAAAAAAAAAAAGAGAAAAACTAGTTAGTAACTTTATAGAGCCACATAAGTTTTTATAAGTATACCGAACAGTTAAAAAAAAAAAAACCTTTGCATAAAAGTTATAACGATTTGAAGACTAATGTTGCGAATATAATTTCAATATTATACGAACTTTAAAACCTTTCAACAGGACCCCAAATAATATATACAAATCTTTCCATTTTTTTTTTAAAGCTAATTAAATATATTTCGTAGATAAGCTTTTAATATTTATATATTTTTTACCTAATCTTGAAATATAATTTTAATTTTTTTCTCATTTTATTTTATTTTATTTTGTCATCCTGATTTTTGATATCTTATCTGCGTCAGAAGTTGAAGGGTTTTAAAGATTCTCGACCGTGATCATTAAGTATGGACTACTCATTCATAATAAAAATTACTTAAGAATCTTATATTCAATATCAAATTATTTAAGTGCCAAATCGAAAACATCATCAAATGGTTCAGCGAAGACAAGAAATCGTAAAACTTCTCAAAAATGTAGTGTTTACTGGATCACCAAAAGCCACCAAAATCAATGTTCCTTTTACTATTAACATCAACGACCCAATTTTTCGGTTTCTTGATTGTTGTGAATCATTCAAGAACCCACCACCTCAGCCTAGTGACAATAAAAAGTATGACATTCTCCTAAAACTCAAGCAAGAGGCTAGCATATTGAATGAATTACATCGAGGTATAGTAGAACCTCGACATATTCTTGACGTTCGGGGTGCTGAAGAACGAAAACTCGGTAATTACCCATTATTCAAGTGTAGTATGTGCCCATCTAATAGTAAGGAAGTAAAGGTTTACAGAAAAATAGTAAAACATATTATGGCAGTACATGGTTTGGATATCGAGAGTCAGAGATTATCGAGTTATATAGAAGTAGATCCTAAATCGGTAGTCAACTACATTCATTTCGCTTTTATACCTGAAATCCGTCCACTTGAAATCCGTCCAAAGATAACTAAATAAATAGGGTCGGTAAAAGATAGTATTTTCTCGGTTTAATCTGTTATAATATTATATATATATGCTGTATAAATGGGGTGAATTAACAGGTTTCGTCGTTTGATGTAATTATTTCATGAAATTCGCGCAGAGGTGATAACTTTCTTGATGCAGATTTATACATAATTAGGGTTACTATCTTTGATGAGATTTTCACCCTGTCATATTATTTCAATTCTTTGTAAATAAAAATTACATGATTTCCTCCGCTAACTTCTATACAACGCTTGGGAAACGTTTTTTTCCAATTATGAAAATTAATTATTTTATTGTATGTATAACCCGATTTTACGTGACTAGTTGCATAAAACTGTTTACACATTTTACGTATGACGTATCAGCAGACGTGATAAACCAACTAGTTCAAAGAGATTTAACTTAAACAATAACGATTTGAGTTTCTAACTACTTAACATTTCTAATTATACTGTAATAGATGCATTTGAAATGCATAAGTTAAAATAGCAAATTTGTATCAAACTAAAATTAACAAATTGTATAAGTAATGCCCCTTTTAAATTTATAATTTACCAAATTTCATTCTTAAGTCCAATAATATTAATATTAATTGCACTAACTATCTAATAAACTCTTTTATTAATAACTTATAATAATTACATTTTTTAATATTACAATAATTTTTTGTAATTTGTTATCCACTCTATTTTGTTATTGCCACCTCTAGCTAGTCTTTAATTCTAACCTAACCCTAAATTAGATTAGAATTAGGTTTAGAAAAGGATGGCAATAACAAAAATAGAGGTAGCAATGATAATGTTTTATATATAGTTTCTTCTAAGTACATTAGCATCAGTGTTGATCAAATTGCTGGTCAATTAAAAATTTGCTGGTCAATTGTCAAAAGGTTTTTGGTCAATCTGATCAAATAATCTAATCAATCAAATTAAAGAATCTAATTATACAAATTTTTACTAAGTAAGGTTGTAGAGCAGATTGTTGAGATTCTAATAGTGTTAAAGCATTAAAATCGCCACACTAGATCATGATATATGCAAAAAAATGTCTTTAAAATATATATAAAAAATTTTTATAAAGATTTTTATATATGTTTTAAAGACATTTTTATGCATATCTTATGATCTAGTAGGCTGATTTTAATGCTTTAACCAACATTAAAATCATAATAATTCAGTATTAGTTAAATTAGTGGTCAATTATAAATTTGCTAACCATGATCAAATTGATTTGGTCAAATTGGTTAAATGATTTGTCTATATAAACCAAGTTAACCAATTAAACAATCAAACAAATTTGATTATAGTCAAATTGGTTTGGTCAGTTGATTTTGTTTATGTAACGACCAACTTGACCAATATCAAAGATGCTTGACCGGACTGGTCATTAGTCAAATTGGTCTGGTCAAATGGTCGAATTGGTCTGGTCAGCCCAACACTGATTAGCATTCTGCTTTAGAGTTGATTTTTCGTGTAACTCCGAGTATTTAACAATAACGAAAAATAAAAGTATGCAGTGTATAGGGTTGTTAATGGGTTAGGTTGGGTTTGGAATCTTCAACCAACACCATTAAATAAAATCTTGCTCTAGATTCTATTCCGGGTTGTTCCAAATTTATAAACATTTTTTTAGACCCACAACCATATAAGTTGGTTCAACCCGGAGTGTATTATTCCGCGGCGAAAGATCCGGTATTTTTAACGGGTATAAATGTAACATTTTATATAGGGTACCAGAACCGAAACTGTATACAGTATATAATTAATATGGAAAATACACGGGATTACAGCAGAGCAGTATGATATGGGATGGGTGAGCAAATCAGTATCGGTATGGTACGGGCCAAAATTAAATGCTTATACCACCATGCTGATCAGCTAGCCCCTAACGCTAATATACCAGGTGTTTGATAAATAACGGTTACGGTACGATTTCCCGAAAGCCTTGACGATCGGGTTAATTAGGACAAAAATAAACCCGAGTACCGGTTCATGTTCATATGTTACAGCTATTATCATTATTTCTGGGGCACCTGAAAAATTTTCAGATGACCGAAATATCCTCTGTTTCATTCGGTAAATTATCTAGCTTTCCGGAAATTACATCGCTGTCTTCGGACTGAATGTCCGGAGACAACAATATAGTTTCCGAGAAGTTAGGTAATTTACCGAATGAAACAGAGGATATTTCGGTCATCTGAAAATTCTTCAGGTGTCCCAGAAATAATGATAATAGCTGTAATCATCTTTTACATTGATTCAATAGTTGTTCGATAAATTATTGAATTGAATCAATAAAGTTAAAAGATTAACATATGGTACTCGGGTTTATTTTTGTCCGAATTAACCCGATCGGAAATGTCGGAAGGTGATTTTCGAGGCAAAGACTCCATATCTACAACTAACAAAATGCTAATTCTGTGATGTCGGGTAAATAGTTTTTCGGGAAAGTGGGTTTCGGGAAAGTGAGAATCAACTACATTACCGGCCACAGGATCCGTGAGTTTGAAAGACTGCTATTGACTACGGGTACATGTTAGAGACAAGAGGAGCCTGTAGTAAGTTTTCCGTATTAATTACATGTAGGGTTTTAGTTCGAGTACCCTTTGTAAAATGCCACCTTTATGCTCATTAAAAATACCGGATCCGTTCGGATCTTTTTTGCAAAACACTACTGGAGTGGCTGCCTTACAGATTTGTTGCTTTTAGTCCAGACTACAATTCTGTTGGAATAGATGTTTATTTTTTAATCCTAACTATGAATTGGAATTGTCGGCAAAATGGTTGTCGAGAAAAGAGATCCAACGATTAAAATAAATATTTATCATAATTAAAAAATATATATTTGTTTACAGGGAGTTCCATTCTTATGGGGAGCAAAAGGCGTTGGACGGCATTGTACTTCTGACCAGTTTTTGGATCGGTTCGGATGATAATTTTTGGGCGGTCCATACCATGTACGAACGGACCACTTGGGAGTCTGTAAAATGACTTTCGCAAAGATGGATATCTCTCCGATCAAATCTAACTCTCAGATTTTACTCCCTTCAAAGGCGAAAAGAAATAAACATTTGTAAAATTGTAAAAACATGTAGCCGAATTAAAAAAAAAAACCAGGTTAGCTTTAAAATGGCCGGGTTGTCAGATCTAAAATTCTGATGAATTACTATCTGATAAAATCTATATTAAAAAACTGATTGTTGCAGTATTAGTTACTAAAGAGGTTCTAGAATTATATTCTGAGAGTGCATGAAATTATTATATTGTTATTCAGGGAATCTCCTTTTATATATAAAAATTCTTGATCAAAACGCATCAAAACTTTTCTCTCTGTAACTTAAAAAGAAAGCAGTCTTTTTTGATATGATTGTTGTTGATTATAATAATTTTCTATAAAACTTTGTTGGAATGAAAAACCAGCAACAGTTTTGTATGGTAATCATCATCATTGGTCACCAAGAATATCTTGGTGACTAGAGAAATCTTAATGTTTCGGAGTCGACTACGACCATTCAAGGTTTCTTGTATATTTTTTCTTTTTTCTTTTTTTTTTGCTTTTTATTGTTGGGTGATGGGACATATTATATAGCGACACAGCTTTTATGAAGAAAAGACACTCAATATCCAATTTGAGGCTTGGATACACAGCCGAATGAACTTTTCCTTTAAATAATGTAATGTATAAAAGCATGATGAGAATTATGAAAATTATAATCAGGTTTTTAAATTCAGAAATAGATTGGTGGCTTATAATTATTTGCTTTAAAGCCGACAATTAGAAAATTATCCTCATTTTTAAACGGCTATGTGCATAAATACAAGTGTATGCATTAATTTTGAGTATGGAAATCATATTGAAAAAAAAACATAAAAAGTCTTCTGTGTTTGATTTTTTTCCATAGAAGATTATACGTGAATAAAACCGGAAATTATTTCATAACAACTTGATATTTCAAAGTTTTTAATATTTTAATGTCAAGTTTTTAAATTAATAACTGTATTTCTCTTGTTCGAACCTCGACCACCGTGGAGTCATTCCGGAGACATAGCCCACCG